CATAGGCAGAAGCACCGGTTCTTTGATGTGACTGAACTGTGATCCACTCAGCACCTGAAGGGAGGCAGGCTGAAGATTGGGAAGCCTCATTAAGGAGGAGGAAAATAAAAAGAGGAGGGAGAGGAGGGTGCAGGAGACGTGTGTGGGTGCCAGGGCCCATGGCCTCACGCTGGGCCGGGCGGCCTCTGCTGAGGCGGCTCCCTCAGCGCCCGCCTCGCGCCGCGGCCTGTGGCGGAGCAGCCTCCTCATGCTGCAGCTGCACAGGGGAAGACGAGGCAAAATTCAGAGAAAATAATGTGTCTAATCACAAAATAGCATTTTTCAGGAGGTGAAGGGAAATTCCTGGGGAGATAGTCCCATCTGGCTTACAGTCCCTTTGCGCTGGGGCGGTTCAAAGAGGTGCTGGTGTAACTGAGAACTGAGGATAGTGGTTATTTATAGTTCGATGGCCTCGTAAACGCTGGAGAGCCGAGCTCACAGCAGCACACTTATTTATGTTGTGAACTGCGCTTGCAGCACCCTCCTGCCTTGCAGAACGTATGCTGTAGCTCCTGCATAAAATTATATATGACTTTATAAGGTTCATGACACAAAGGCAAAAATATGAAATTAGACTAACAAAACAGAGAGTAGTGGAAAATAAAAGTAGCAGGCAGAACTTGAGAAAAATAAACAGCGCAGCTCTGAAATAAAGTAATATCTAGAAGATTTGCACCTAAATCCATTTTTCACAATAGAAGGAAAAAAATATCCAAAACCTCTGAATAAGCAATAACTCTGGTTTCAGCTCCTGGTGACATTACAAAGGAGTCAAGCCTTGCACCGGAGGTTTCATAGTGACAACTCAGCCTCTGGCACAATCTTGGTATAATGCCTTCCTGCAAATTATATTTGTATCACATTTATCCCTTCTTTCAATATCAATGTACCATCTTTTTCCTCTGTAACCCAGAGGGAAAGCAAAGCAGCACCATTTCATTATTACCCTTTAATAGTCCTTCCAATGATATAAGGGAGAATATTAATATCCTTTCAGAGACCTCACCTAAACACTGCTAAAAGCCAGGAAGGGAGTGACAAGTCTGTAGCTCATGTATAGGGATGAAATCCTGGGGTTAATGAAAGAATGTCACCCCTGGGTTTCCATCTTGGTTTCTTTTTAACCTTTTAACTTCAGTTTCCTCAGCTGTGGAACAAGGAATGTAGACTTGCATAAAAGTTGCCAGTGTGATTTTACTGAGTAGAGTTCAGTAGGGAGCCTGGAGCGCTCTCAGTGAAGAGACTACGGAGGCGCATTTTTAAGAGGAAAGGCAAATACCATCTTCCTAAAAGCTTACGCTAGTCGAGCTGTGGTGGTTGTGGATTTGAGCTTGCTGCCTGTGGAAGCAGCGTTGTTCTGCAGAGCTATGGGAGACACCTGAGCAGCTGGAAGGGATCCGGGGTGCAGACCTGCTGCACCGCTCAGCCAGGGCTGAGGTGATGGTCGGGTATGAGAAGAGGCCGCCATCCTCCAAGGGCACAGGATCTCTCCCTGTGGCTTTCAATTGCTCTACGAGATGATTTGTGCCTAAAGTAGCATATAAATGGTGTAAGCTACGTTGTGCTTTAAGATTCTTAATGTCTGACTGAAGAAACTGAGGAGAAACTGGCTGCGAGAGTGTTGTGCTACGTACCCTAGTATCATTAAATGAACCATAAAACTCACAAATCTGCTGAACAGAGAAGGCTAAATTAACAGTGAAAGGACACCTAAAGGTGACCAGCAAAGGAAGTGGAATGGTAACTGTGTTCGACATGCTGTTTCTTCCTGATATGTATAAAAGTCTGGAAAGGATGACGATGATTAATCATCTCACTTGTTTTTCACATTAGAAATGCACATTTTGTCCATCATGGAAAAGATGGAGGATGTGTGAAATCACCCAGGAGGCAGGAGGATGTTCAGTCAGGTTGTTTCAAATGATTTGGGTCTTGTTTGTCTTTATGAACACCGGCATCAAACTGCAGAATGAACAACCTGATAAAACCCTGCAGCCCATCTGCTTGAGATGTGTGTGCTTATAATATACTGCCCTTGAGATATAGTGTTATCAAAATGCAGGGGAGATGAAACATTACAAGATGATAAAATAACAAGGGGGAAACCATAAACTGGCCATCTAATTATCATAAAGAATTTGAAAAAAATAATAAAAAGAACAATTTATGTTTCAAAAAAGGCTTCTACTGACTACAAACACTGATTGTCAATTGATGCAGGATTAAGACCTAAATTTTCTCAAATGCTGCACTTCATTTCAGAGCAGCTAGCAAAAAAAAAAAAGTTCTGCATTTTGGAAATATCATCACTTTATTTTTGTACTGAACTTACTGCCTTTGATTGATTTTTAAAAAGTACCAGAAGAGGAGTTCAGAGTCTGGCCCACATTCAGAATATGAAGTTAATGTTTTGTCTTCCAAATCCATTTTTACACTCTGGTAATAACCCAGATTCATTTCTCAGATGTGTTGCTTCTAGTTCTTGATTTGGAATGTGGAAAGAAATGATAAAATCAAGGAAATGCTAGTTTTTAAGCATGCCTAGCTTTTAATTTAGCTCTCAAAGTGAAGAATCCATGTAATTTTCTGAAACAGAATAATGACTACTTCCAAAAACAACTGAACAGCTAAAAGACTAGGTCTGAGACTGGCCCTATAGCTGTAGGATCCTTTCTCATCTGGGAAAGAAACTATTAATCTGTTTAGATCTGTAGAGAGATCTGGAGTGTTTGTGAAAATGCCGTTAGGTGGATTTTGAGTAATATCATGTGATCATTTTATGTTGATCATATTTCTTTAATCAAACCAGAGCTACTCTTTGTGAACTGTTTTTCTCAAATCCTGAAGCCAATCTGTCATACAAGTCCCTGATCCTGCAAATATTTAAGCTGATGAGGAGTGTTACTCATTTCAATAGTCTCATTAAGCAATTTATTCCATGTTTAAACGGTGTTTCAAGCACGGTTATACCCTAACTTTTGGACTTGTCTGTGTATCACTGACATGACTCCTTAAGGCAATTCCGCAACAGAGCTTTCCCATTACAGGCAAAACCTGTGTTAAGGACCAATACTTCTCCAAGTGATAGGTAAACTTTATTCTCCTATGGATGGATTGACTCCTATACCTCAAATTCTCTACTTGTTAAGCTGAAAGGGGGCAAAGTTGGTAAACGACCAAGAAATAAACAGTAACTGGATCATGTGTTCTTTCATATTTTCCCCAGTGTATAAAAATAGAAGCAGTATGTAAATAATCATGATTTACTTTAAATCCCAATTCACATTATAGTGAGCAGAACTAAATCTTCTTCATCCACAGCACTCAACCATGCAGCAGGCTGCAGAAAGGCAGGACGGCAGCCCCCGTTTGCTAACCCTGTCCCACCTCAACACAAACCAGCAGCAGCTCTGTGGAAACCAGTGTTCTGCACCCCGGTGTGAAAGAATAAAGAACGGGTCCCGTTATTGAGACCCAACTGCTTCCTGCCAATTGTGCTACCACACTCTTGGGGTGGAAGTTAGGTAGAGTGGAGTTTCAGTTGTACAAATTCCACAGTGAAGGCAGATTGGAAGGTGGATTGGAAGGACACGGAGGAGACAGGGCACTGTAATTAATCAGGTACCTTTCTTCACCTCTTCTGTACCTGATGTTGTCCCTTGCTTTCTCCCTGGGCCACACGCAGCTCTCACCATTGCCTGCAATCTCTTTTTCAAACATCCTGGGCATCTAGCTGGTTTTCTTTGCACCCTGCACTTAATATTGGGTCTGAAGTTGTCTCTCCACACATCTTCTTGGCTAAATCTCTTTCCGCTTCAAGGCCACAGAGAAACCCACCAGTAAAGCAGGAAAGGATGGGGCAGAGTCAAATGTATCGCTACAATAAAGAGGAGGGAGCTTCCTAGCTACCTTTGCAAGGATATAAGCACAGGGATTTTGAATCAAAACCGTCTGTAAATTGGTAACCAAATCTTCAGTGCTCACAGTATCATTCCTAGGTTCCTTCCTAAGGGAAGAACGGAAGCAAACATCAAAATAAAATTCAAGTTCAGGACAGTATCTTTTTCTGTGACTTTCTTCACATTTTAAAATAGCCAAGGCAGGCAAAAGGCTCTAATAAGGATTAATGCTGCAGTGACCCTGCGCATGCTCTTTCTATTAGATCACAGAATTTGCAGCCCAGACCTGAGACTGAAAGCTGGTCTATGCCAACTGTAAGCAAAACGGAGCAATTCCCAATACCCATATGAAATATTTGCAAAAGGTCAACAGAAAACACCAAGGCTTAAAAATATGATATCTTTAAAATTATTTCACCTTTAGTAATATGAAGTCACCTATTAGTAATAAGGATAAAGAAAATACATAGATGATTTTTAACCCATAAACACAAAACAGAACTGGGCAGATTGATGAGCATGCCTAGCAAATGGACATTTGCACTTAATTAAACCGAGCTTAAATATGTCCTGTCTGGGTTTTATTTTTTAATAAGATATTCACTAAATACTTCCATGGAAATGTGGAACTACACATTGCAGTTTAAGAATTTGGCTGCATATGCAAGAAGATTAAAAAAAGAAAAAACATCTCAGAACAGAATATTGAAAGAATACTGAATCAGCCCCAGATTCAAATTGAAATCTGTATTTTATTTGATTAGGGACAAAAGCTGGAGTGACAGTTGCAGGCAAACTAAGTTGGAAAAGAAAATGCTTATATGTGCTTTGGTATGTATCACTGATTTATGTACCACCCTATAGAACGACTATCTTTAGACACTAAGAGTATAACTAATTTGCTCACAAATGTTTTTTTTTAAGACCATGTTATGCTTCTTATTCTAGAGACATTCACGATGGAGACATTATGATTTGAAAGCAATCTAACATGCAAACAGCCCCTCCAAAAGTTAGATGAATTCTGAGGAGGTTTTAAAATAGAAATCTTGGAGATCAACCATGGATCGTAAGAATCAGGAGAAGAGAAAGCAGCGCCATAGCTCGACTTTACTGGAACAAGTGAAAAGGATGAAGGAGTCAGCAGAGATCATTGATGTGGTTCTAGTCGCAGAAGGTGAGAAATTCCCTTGCCATAGGGTGGTCCTGGCCGCGTTCAGCCCGTATTTCAGAGCCATGTTCACCTGTGGCCTGGCTGAATGCACCCAAAGAGAAGTGGTGCTGCATGACACCTCCGCAGAGAGCGTGTCCGTAATCCTGGGCTACATGTACAGTGCAGAGCTGCTCCTCACTAGCCAGAACGTGCAGACTGTTGCTGTTGCTGCGTATTTCATGCAGATGGAAGACGTCTTTGGTATATGTCAGAAGTACATGATGGACCATATGGATGCTTCCAATTGCGTGGGGATTTACTACTTTGCAAAGCAAATTGGAGCAGAAGACTTATCTGATCAAGCAGGGAAATACTTGTATCAGCACTTTGCTGAGGTGAGCTTACAGGAGGAAATACTAGAGATTGAAGTCCAGCAACTGCTGGCTCTCATAAAATCAGATGATCTGAATGTTTCCAGAGAGGAGAGCATTCTGGACCTCGTCATTAGATGGGTTAATCACAGCAGAAAGGCACGCGTGGGCCACCTTATTGAGCTGCTGCAGCAAGTGAGACTGGTGCTTGTCAGCCCTTCCTTTTTAGTGGAAGCCCGGAAAAGGAACACAATGATCCTGTGCAATTCCGAATGCAATGATATGTTTGAGAAAGCTTTGGAGACCATCAGGATATCCAGACAACCGTCTCTCAGTCTGCGATATGGCATGGAGACTACTGACCTCTTACTTTGCATCGGCAACAATTCTCTGGGCATTCGCTCCAGACACGGCAGCTATGCAGATGCCAGTTTCTGTTATGCTCCTGCAACACGAAAGACTTACTTCATTTCCTCCCCAAAGTACGGAGAGGGTTTAGGTTGTGTTTGCACTGGTGTTGTCACCGAGAATAATGATATTATTGTGGCAGGAGAAGCAAGCGCCGCCAAAATGTCTAGACAAAAGACCAGAAACATCGAAATTTATAGGTGTGTACCTTGTGTCAGAAAATGCCTAAATTTTTAGTTTCCGGGGACAAGACTATTAGACCAACCATTCTTTCTCTAGAAGTTTACATAAAGATTATGGCATAATGAATTATAGACATATGAACAAATCTTGATGCCTTTTCTCATGAAAGAGTATTTACTGTGGTGGCATCCTTGTGTAAATGAGTTTGATGAGATCTCAGATCAATGCAAATCAACTCAAATGTCAGCATTTGGCTAGGATTTTCTATTCTAGGTCATTGGCAGGGTAAGGAGTCAAGGGAATCATCTGAGAAGTCCAGTAAGACAAGGATAATACTCTCCTATAAAGCTGTCATGTTGATGATACCTCAGAGATAAAATGATAATGCTTGATAATTTAAAACCCTCATTCTGTTTTTACTCATGTCTTTTTCAGATGAACCTATTTTAAAGAAAATTGGAGCTTTTCAGGATTCAAGACTAAGTAAAATGTAAAGACAGCATTTAAAATAACAGGTGCCTAAATTTAACCAAGTAAATCTATAATGAGACAGGTGAAGTGGCCTTGTTTTGAGCAGTGCTGAGCTCTCGCTCTTCCCGCTGACTTCAGTGGAAACAGGGAATGAACAGCACATGCTAAGGGACCTCTACATTAGTTCAGGTCAAGTATCTTCCAATGTGTCCCTAAAATTAGGCCCCTACATGCTAAAAATACTTTATCTTGAAAACACTGAACTCCATTTTATAACTTCTCTTTAGAGAAGAAAGCTCCTCTTGTCATTATATCCCAGAATAAACAAAGAAGACCAAGGGGGTAACATTTGAAAACAAGCTGATCTGAACTCAGGGCATTCACAGCTTTGGATTTTCCTACAGATACCGCCAGCAAGGAAACCAGTGTTGGCACAGCCTGTGCACTACTCAGTTCCGTGAGCTCTATGCACTGGGCACTATCCGTAATGATCTCTATATAATAGGAGGGCAAATGAAAATAAAAAATCAGTATCTGGTCACAAACTGTGTGGAGAAGTATTCCATGGAGCAAGACACGTGGAGGAGCAGAGCGCCCCTTCCCCTGCCGCTGGCCTGCCACGCGGCGGTGACAGTGAAGAGCAGCCTCTACGTGCTGGGTGGCTGGACACCACAGGTTACCACAACTGCTGGTTTGGTTTGTTCACTAACAATCACAGCTGTGCTTGGTTTATGTGATACATAATCATTTATACATATATATAAAAATATATATTTATATATATCTATATATACATTATTTATATATATAATTTATGGTGCTTCGTGCATAGGAAAAGTAGGTCAGTGATATGGAAAGAATAAATTGGTCTCATTCCTCTGCCGTCTTTAATAGGAAAACCAAATAGGGCAAAGGAGAATAAATTCTGTATTACATTATCTCCAGCGTAAAAGCCAACTTCTGGAATGGCAGCTCTTTCATAGAGACTTTCACTATAAGCCAGAATCTAAAGTGTATCTCTTATGTCGATATGAGCTCTATTTGAAACAGTTACTGGGTTAAATATTAAAGACCTGAGTTTTGCAAAAACCAGAACTGAAATAATTAGGATGACATTTAGTACTTATCTGGCATTTTTGTGTCATCACAGACTGGGAAAATGGATTAACTTCAGCCTTCCTTTATATATTGTCTTCTAAGTATCAGGAAGTAATGGTCTTTAAATCACACAGAGACTTTTAACAGGGCCCCGTATTCAAAAAACACATACGGAAGTGAAATTCAGGGCCAGATCCATATCTGAAATTCAGAGTTCATCTTAGTTTCTCAGGAAAGCTTTTTAGTTAACTAATGTTCCTTTATTTGTTTCTTACTGTATTTTATTTTTGATGAAAAGGCAAAGCATTATTTGGAGAACAGACTCCTTTAATGAACCCACATATTTGTTTCAGCTGATCGCTTGGTGGTGGGAATTCTCAACAGGGGCACAAACCTCAACTTCAGTAGCACAAACAAGATATAGAATACACAAGGGAGATAGATGGCAGAAACAGTGCTTACCCTCTTTGGTGTGTCCCAGTATGAATTGAGGATGGTCTTATATTTTAATTCTTAAAATAGAGGGGGTTTCATGCAATTTAATATTGATCACGTGAGTTAGAGCCCCACATCTACCTGACAAAGGTGTGGGGCATCTGTACTCCGTGCTGCTCACTGTGGCATTTTCCAAATGCCATCACCTCTCGTTGGCTTGTGATCTTTTCAAATAAATTAATGCTAAAAGTATTTAAAAGCGAAAAGTACTCAGCAACAAGATTTCCACCTCTTTGGATATTTTGAGCATAGAAGTCCCCAAATGGAAGCAATAGAAATATCAGAGAGTACTTGTGATACTAAAACAACTGAGCGAAGATACCTCTCTATTTTAAGAATTAAAATTTGAGCATATCCTTAATGTGGAAACAGTCTGGCTGTACAAAGCTTGATCTGAAAGATTTGTTATATAACAAAGAGTTTAAGTTAGACAACCAGTTTTGTCTTGCTTAATAGTTCTGCAGAACAGATTGTAAGGGGAGAAAGTGACTTGGAAACACCAGTGAAGTATGTTGAGCCAAGAATCATTTAAAAAAAATGCAGGTACCTGGAAAACACATGAAGCTGAAATCTGCCAATCAGTACTATATCTGTAACAAAACAGGAGAGTCTGGGTTTATATACAAAATGGCTTGAGATGAGCAGATTAATACTAAGTAACTGAAAACTATAGCTTCGTAACATTACCCCATACCTAAGCAGAACAGACAAATGAACCAAAGCACCCCAAAATCTGCTTTAAGAGCAATGCTGCAGAGGGTGCTGAATTCTCCTAGCATCACATTATCTCCTCGCGTTCACCTTTCAGATGCTGCAATTGTAGCTGTGCGACTGTCACAGCTGCGCTGTGAAAGCATCTTGGTTTGTCAGGGCAGGAGTTGCCTTTATATCCAAGCAGCACTGAATGTTCTGTCAATCCTTAACAACTGCTAATGATGCAGCATTGACAGAGTGCTCTAAGTGTATGTGTCCACTCACAGGACAGAGATAAATACATGTTCCCTTCCCACTCAGACTTTGCAATTGAAATAAGACGAGACAAGGTCATGCCAGGACATAAAATAACAGCTTAGGAGGGCAAGGACTCCAATGTGCAGCACTGCTCCAGTTCTGCACTGGCCTGTCCGCGCTGGTGCCAGCAGAGTTAAAATCCCCGGGGTACTGGCTGGGAATCAAGCCCTGGGAACCGGGATCCGAATATGGCAGCAAGCATCTGGTGAGGGCTGAAAGGCAGGTTGCAGCTCCTTGAGCACACAGAAAGGACAGGTTTTTTTTCAGTATATAAAGAACACAGTGGGATGGTTCACATTAAAGTTACCACAAAAATGAGGTAGGATGGAATTTACAGCATGTCAAATGGTTTCTGCTCATGAGCATACACTTGCTTTGTGGTAAAAATGCCATGGCTTTCCCCTCCTTAGCGAATACTGAATGTCAGTGTCTCACACCTGCAGAGAAGGGGCATGCCCGTGGCCCTTACAGGGGAGTAATCGAGGGACGCTCGAGTTACTTGATGGTTTTCCTCCTACTATCCTGTCCATCACGTCAGTGTTGGAAAGGCTTCTGGGGAATGGAAAATAACAAGCAAAGCAGGAACACATATAGCAACTTCACAAGTAAGCAAAGTAGTTCTCTCCTTTTCATTATCTCAGCATGAAATTTTTCATCTTGAAATATTTCAGAACCCTCCTCCACAGGTTATTGCTTATATTCAAAGTTACCATACCAGAAAACACAATCTTAGTTCCCTGTGCCATGTCGGAGAGGGAGAAAAGGGGAATAAGATTCGAAAGAAAAAAAGGAGTAGGAGTGAGGATAAAAAACACATTCTGGTAGCCATGATGTAGCATGGGGTTAAGAGCTTGTTACTAAAACCATCGAAGAAGACGCAGCAGTTGAACGACGGCACGCTGTTCGGTTGACTAAATAAACATGCATGCTGGTCGGGAATAAGTCATGAATATAAACAGGCCTGAGAAAAGCTGGCTAAGTTCTTCACTGCGACTCGTGGCACAGTCTGAATAACAACTGAGATAGCAACTCAACCTTTAACGGGACCAATAATACCTTAGAGAAGGTTTTCCCTTCATCATGAGGACTTCACACAGGCCTTGGAAAAGAGGCAGCTCCTGTCAGAGCTGGACCCGTGTTCTGTTATTACCCAAATCCCCAACTTTATTGTGACAGAATATAAATGCCCTGTTATTCATTTGCCTTCTTCAATGCACTTCCAGCCACAAGTCATGGCGCTGCTGAACTGCAGCGAGTATGAATCACCTCACAGCTAGAATTGATGTGTTGATGTTATTTATCTGCTCAGCTGTCTGCTGTGATTAACTGCATGCAGGCGTGTGCAGAGGGCTCCAAATGCTGTATTATTATATGGCTGTCATATTTCACACAGATGGATCTGCCTGACGATGAGCCGGATCGATTAAGTAACAGAATGTTTCGGTATGACCCGGGCCCAGACAAATGGACAGAGTGCGCCCCAATGAAGTACTCCAAGTACCGCTTCAGCACGGCTGTAGTCAACAGTGAGATCTATGTCCTGGGTAAGAGCAAACCGATTTTTAACAGATAGCACAATGATTTTTTTCTTTTTTCCAGCCATTTGCCTCAGTGAAGTGAAATATCTCACCCTCTGCTATGTACTGCAGGACTGAGTATGTTGGACTGAATGGATAGTACTTTCTGGAGCTATTTTTGCCCTACATAATTTCTTCCTTCCTTAATTCTTGTTGATTAAATTAGTAAAAGTTTAGTGCTGTGGATTAATGCAACAAGGATACTGTGCTTTTTAAACCACTTTTCTTTGGAGTATCAGTGTACTTTGTAAGTAATAATGAATTCAAAAAGATGGCTAGAGAAGCCCTGTTAGCATCATTTTACAGGAGCGGCAAGCTGGAGTAACACACCCAGCATCACAAAGGAAAGGCACAGGCGAAAAGACAACTTGGATCTCCAGTCAAAATGAAAATTATCGGTAAATTCTGATAAAATTTAAAGAATCGTTTTCCTCTACCTACCTCAGTGCAGATATACTTTTTTAGAAAGTCCAAATCTTTCATTTTGTCACTTTTAAAACAGACAGAATTAATGATATAATTAATATCGGCACAATTTATGTTCCCAAAGACCATTCCTACTTCTGTCCGAGTCAACAGAAAGAACATCACTTGCTGCTCTTGTTTGCACCAGCAAACATCTCAGGAAACCAAGACAAGCAAGAGATTTTTATGAAAAGAAAATTATCTGTAAGGCAGGAAAGAGGGGTGAAGAAGAAAGGGAATAATATAGAGAAAACATTAAAGAGGCATATTGGAACGAGAAAAAGAACCAGAAAAACGACTAAGAGAATGAGGGAATTACAGAGAAAATGAAAGTCATGCTAGGAGCATGACTGAATAGGCTTGCAAAAGCATGAGAGACATTTGTAGGGTCGGCTAATGCTCCGGTGGGCTGGGATCACTCACACGCTCCGTGCGCCGGGGTCCGCGGGGCACGAAGCAGGCAGCGATTCCATCAGTACCTTTTAATCCCTGCTGCTTCAAATTACTCCTGCTTTCAAGTATAGCAAGTGAACACAGTAAATATGTCTTATCAGATTAAGGTACTGTCTGTTTTAGGGCTGTTTTAGATTGGTCTGCATTGTTATTTACCAAGGATAGTGGGGAGTGTGTCGATGATGTCTAACAGAGAAGGCATTTTGCAGAAGGCTTCCTGGAGAGATGTGTTCAAGGTGCCTTTCAAACAGCAGAGGGGAAGACAGCTTTAAAACTGCATTTGTCTTGTTTTGGAAACACCTCTTCCTCTACAGAGCCATAAGCCAGACCTCCAGGAGAAAGGGGGATGGAGGCACACATGTAAAAGAGAATCTCCCAAACAGAAAATCATGATTGTCAACAGTTACTAGCAGGTGAACTTCAGCACGCTGTTAAATACAGCAAGTGCTGGCTATATAGGTTCAAAGGTGCTTTGAGAATGTGGAGGTTTCATCCTCCTTAAAAGGTTAAGTATATATCTATTTACTTATGCTGATAAAGGTGCTGTAACGGGGAAGTGGAAGCAGCAATAACAGTTGGGAAGAGAAAGGCTCTTCATGCATTTTGGTAAGAAACACCCTGAGCTCAAGACCAAGAATTCTGCAATGACACAAGACAGGGAGAAAAACAGAGAGCTGCCTTGGGACACTTGTGCTGCAACAGGTTGACCTCCTCTGCAACCCTCATACTGAAACATGTAAAAGCAGTGGTCAATAAGGAAAACTGCACCCATTTTTTCGCCTCAAAATCTCACAAAACAAGAAGTGGATCTGAACGAATACAGCAGTGAAATGTACAGACTGCAAAAAGCACAGAGGTAGTCTGAAAAGTGATTGTTAAAATAGCATTAAGGAGTTCCAAGTTTATGGTGTCTTACAAACTTTCACATGAGTTCCACTAACATAAAACATAAAAAGCATCATTTTATTGCAAATAGCTGCCAGTGCTGCTCTTTTCAGGAAGCTGAATATTGATTTGAATTCTTTCTTACGTGCCAGTCAATACCAATAATATTTTTCTGGTGAGCAGATCTTTGTTAACGATTTTATGAGCATGTAAGCTGGAATCTGCTTCCCATCACCTTGTTGGTCCACACTCCTCCGCATGAGCAATCCCTATTCGAGCAGTCCGAGGGGAATCGACACACTTAACCCCATGATTAACGATCTGCTGCACTGGGCCCTTCGCTGCTGTCACTAAATGTGCCTGAGCATATGCAAGAGCAGTGTCTGATCTTAGCTACCATAGTGTAAATTTGGGATAATTCTGCTGTAACGAACAGACTTGCTTATAATTCACACCAAAGAAAACTGAGCTCGCCAGCTGCTCCAGGGGGCAGATTTTTAAGAAAGATTGTGCTGTTTTTATGACGGCATTTCTGAACGGGCCTCTCGTCTAATGCTGTGTCCAGTGCAAGGTGTAAGTGCAGCAAACGTAGCCGTAACTGAGTTAACTTCAGGTAGCACAAATATAGATTGTGGGGAAGACATTGTCCATGGGCTGCGACACTCGGCTCCTGATTGTCTATCCTCCCAGGCCTGTGAGGATTAATCTCTGTAAATTTGTAAAACTTAGTCAAAACTTGCCAAAAACTATTGGAGGACAGACAGAGTAATGCAAACACAGACATAGATCACGCATGTACCAAGTGTAATTGTGTAAGTCTTGTTTTCTTAGGAAATCAAATAAAACTAGAGCTAATTTTTTAATCACAAAATGAAGCTGACACTGAGCCAGAAATGGTTAGTCAAAAAAATCTCCTTTGAATGTACTATTTTAAACCCACCCTTAGTTGCACGGATGGAACAATTTGGCTGGTAAATTTTAATGAGCACGGGCTGAAAATTCTGTAGAGGAGACTCTAAAGCAGTGTCAAACACCTCTCATAATGATGAAGCAATTTTCTAAAGAATTTTGTTTGGAAACAGCTTTACAGTCACTGATACTGGCATCTTATTCTGCTGGTATCACACACGGTCTCATCTCCAGCTGTAACCTCACACATGCCAACTGTAATTAAAATCTTACACGGAAGAGATACATTCCATGCTTTATTCATAGTGACAAGTTCTTGTTACCTTGTGAATTCTCAGACTGTTGGGCTGCGAAATGGGTACAGTTTTCCTTTGGAAACAATTGTGATGGTATCCCAGGCTGGGTGGACAGACAGTTCATGACATTGGAAGCAGCGTTTTGAAAGAGCTCTTAATCTGGCTGATGGAGCCCTTCATCATGCAGACGACATTCATGAGAGAATGAGAATGGAAAGAACTGAGGTTGATACTGACAGACCAAAGAATAGCAACTGTCATGAGCATGGTAAAACCACTGCACATTGTCCAATGCTATGGATCCTCGGGACTTTACACTGTTTCACAGGGAATGTCGAGCACTGTGGGAGTCTAGAAAGATGCTGTCAAGGCCAATTTGTTCAAAAAGCCACATTCTGAGGAGGATCACAGCTCGTGGGTTGTCCTCACATAGTGATCTCAGAGGTGTCTATATTCAGGCACAGTGGGCTAAGGGTTTTTTGCTACCGATGACAGAGAGACTTTTAAGGAGTTTCTATCATTGCCCTTTATAGCCCCTCTCCCTTCAAATAGGGCTTTCACATAGATGGGTTGTGTGTATATGAACTTAAACATCTAGTAGGCTCCCATACAGCCTCAGTCACGAGTCACTGACGTGGCGATTCAGACACGTGTGGATTCCCAGAAGAACCACTGCTTTTTGAGGTCTCGCTTGCTCCTTGGGTAGGACAGTGTCTCCGTGGCTTTCCCGTAGTCTGCCCTGACCTGGAAAGGTCCTGGAAATCCGTTCTCCAGACGGATGAAGGAGAGGAAGGGAGGAGGGATGGAAGCAGGACAGTGAAAGACATCGTACGCATTCCACGGGGACAAAATCCTGCTTCCCACAAGCAAAAATATAAAGAAATGCATAGCCCTAGCTGAGTACATAAAGTAACACTGCAGAGAGGCAGTGCTTTTTTGAGCAATTCTTGAAAAGTCCTTCGTATCTCTAAAAAAAGTTAGATTGTCCCTTTTGGGTACAATCTCCGTGTATAGTCTGTGCAGTTCTCAGCACATGCAGGATTAGGCAGGACCCCAGAGCACAAATGAAAAATCACTACATTAACTTGACCCTCTGCTATCATTTCTAAAATATGAATGTAATTTCTATCACAAATATGAAGCAAAACGCGTAAGTAGATCGCAAGCTTTGGGTAACATACCAAGATACCATAACAGAATCTTTGATGCACAAGCCTAATTTTATCCACACAGGTGCAAATTTGCTGCAGGTCTTCTGATTTCAGTTGTGTTGTCCCAGACTCATTTTGTTCTAACTAAGATCAGAATCTGACGCGTAGCCTTTGAAGTGTTAATTTTTGATGAGTCCCATTGGCGCAGAACACCGAGTACAGAGTCACTGTCCAAAAACCCTTCCCAGTCTAATTGCCACCTCCAGCCTCTAAAATTCTAATGACCTAAATGGAATTATTCTAGAGACTCCCTGATGGAAGGCAAATGAGAACTAGATTAGTGTTTTTTGTGTGAGTGATAGCATTGTTCGGGAACCTGTGCGTGAGTCTTTAACCAGCAATCCTGCAATGTAATTGTCTGTTTGCGGTGGAATGTTCCTAGAGAATCTTTTGCTATTTATATGGTGTACATAATCTTTATAAGTAAATGAACAGCATTTCCTGAGGCTCAAAATCCTTTCTGCTATTCATCCTATTTGACTGGTCTTAGCTCTTTCTCTCCATATTTTCCCAGGAACATAACTATATTCGTTAGAAAGCCCAAGAAAGAGCAGTATTGTGTTCTTAATGACAGAGGCAATTGAGATACTTTTGGAAGAAAACCAGATGGGAGGGCTCTATTTAAGGTCATGCATTTTAATCTCTTGCTTAAAAAAATTCTTTGCAGCTGAGTCTCTGAAAACTCATTACAGCTAATGGATAAATTAGGAGAAGACCTGCCAAATGAATTAGCTTACATTAAAAAACA